AAAAATTATATTTTGTTTTACCATAACCTCCAATTTGAATAAAATTGTAACATGAACTGTTTTATTCTGAATAAAATGTTACTAAACTAGCCTTGTTGCTATTGAGCTGTCAACTGCTAAGTGCCCATTTTACAGTGTACTACTCACCTTTCGTGTCACTAGTGGCGCTAGTGTCGAGGAAAATCGTGGCTTGGGGATAATAGTATATTGGATCATATTGTTAATTTATAATATTTGGTTTAATTCATGCTAAACTTGAAAAACTCTTTTTGGAGGCGAACCAGCCCCAGGCTGAAAGCCTCCCTAATAAAGATAAATTAATTAATTGAAAAACTCAGGAATATATTGCGTTATTTTCGTACCGCTGGTAGAAAGTCGTTCCAAAGATGCCTAATTCACTTGGAACTGTTGCTACATTTTCTTTAAATTATCTTCAGAATTCTTTTTTTTTTAGTTCCTCCTCTAAATTTAATTGCGTTATTTTAAAAGATTTTTCATGAATTTTCTGCAACATTTCCTTTAAATTATAGATAGAATTATTTTACATTCGAAATACTCTTCAATCTGTCAGAATCAAGAATTTTTCCAAGCCCATTTCCAGTTGGTTGAAAATGCTATACTAATATCAACATGAAGCTTCAGTGTGAAAATTTAGGACAGGTTGATAGTTCCGAGGGAGGCGACTCTATCTATGATGCAGGAAAGATTGTGTTTTGCTGTGGCTAGCTGCGCGCACGCTGAGTAGATAGACTTCCTGCATAAATGTGATGCGCAATGTAAGTAGATGCGAGAAATGAAAGAAGATTGTTCGAGAGATTTTGAGCATGTAGAATTGAGGTTTAGATGTATCGCCGCCCCCCCCCCCCTCTCTCGGAAAGTTCCGCTAGAGTACGGCAGTGTGAAAATTTAATAGAAATTGAGCGAAGGCCATTAATGCGACAGAACTAGTCTAACGCACATTCCTCTACCTAACTCAGACAAGTGTACGTTTGACTAGTACTGTTAAGGTAATTCGCTGTGACATCCTTATTCTCGTAACCATTTCGAAACTTTAAGTGCACAAATATAAGCTTCCACGATATGTGCAAGATTAAAATTGTTACTCCACGTACTCGCGTATTGTTACCGTACTGAGTGTTAACAAGCCAAATCCGTATCTCTTATGCATGACGAACCAGAGCGAACAGAAGCCACTACTGTTTTTCAGTGAATGTATTTTACATTCACTGAAAAACAGTAACAAGTTCTGCCCGCTCTAGTTCGTGATGCATAAGAGATACAGATTTGAACTATGACCAAAAGTTGTAGCTAATAACAAAACCTACAAAAGCTCTATACATCATTTTGCGTAATGCTGTTGATGAAAAAAGTTAGAGCCAAATGAATGTAAATGAATGTATCAAATGAATGCAAATGATTTTCCATGCCTGCCGTACTCTAATGGAACTATCAATCTATCAACTTCTCTAGCTAATAAATTATCGAACTGAAGCTTAAGGTTGACATTAGTACACTGGAACCTCCATTTACGAACCAAAACGGGGGTTCGTAAATCGAATTAGTGCGTAAAAAAAAACCTCGTTATTTAGGATTTACTTCGTAAAAAGAAAACTCGTTATTTGGGATTTACTTGGTAAAAAGAGGTTTTTGAAAATATTGTCAAATACCCCACAATATGGGTATTTTTGGAATCAGGGTGACGTCTAGGGACCAGAAATCGATGTCTGACGCCATTTTGAAATCCAAGATGGCGGCTTCCGGTTACAGAAAAACTTGGACATTCTGCCAAATACCCCACAATATGGGTATTTTTGGAATAAGAGTGACGTGTAGGGACCGGAAATCGATATCTGACGCCATTTTGAAATTCAAGATGGCGACTTTCGGTTACATAAAAACTTGGAAATTCTATCATATACCCCACAATATGTGTATTTTTTTAAACGGAGTGACGTGTAGGGACCGGATATCGATGTCTGACGCCATTTCGAAATCCAAGATGGCAACTTACGGTTTCAGAAAAAATTTCCGGTTCTTACACGTCACTCCAATTCCAAAAAATTTCATATTGTGGGGTATATGACAGATTTTCCAAGTTTTTCTGTAACCGGAAGCCACCATCTTGGTTTTTAAAATGGCGTCAGACATCAATTTCCAGTCCCTAAAGGTCACTCCGATTTCAAAAATACCCATATTGTGGGGTATTTGGCAGAATTTCCGAGTTTTATGTAACCGGAAGTCGCCACATTGGATTTCAAAATGGTGTCAGATATAGATTTCCGGTCCCTTCACGTCACCCTGATTCCAAAAATACCCATATTGTGGGGTATATGACATAATTTCCAAGTTTTTATGTAACCGGAAGCCACCATCTTGGAATTCAAAATGGTGTCAGATATCGATTTATGGTCCCTGCACATCACCCTGATTAAAAAAATACCCATATTGTGGGGTATTTGGCAGAATTTCCAAGTTTTTCTGTAACCGGAAGTCGCCATCTTGGATTTCAAAATGGGGTCAGACATCGATTTTCGGTCCCTTGACGTCACTCCGATTCCAAAATTACCCATTTTGTGCTGTATATGGCAGAATGTCCAAGTTTTTCTGTAACCGGAAGCCGCCATCTTGGATTTCAAGATGACGTCAAACATAGATTTCCAGTTCCTATACGTCACCCTGATTCCAAAAATACCCATATTGTGGGGTATTGAAAGTATCTTCCAGTTTTTCATGAACCGGATGCCGCCATCTTGGATTTCAAAATGGCGTCAGACATGGGTTTCAGGTTCCTACATCTCACTCCGATTCCAAAGATACCCATCTTGTGGGATATTACATAGTTTTTCCCAGATTCCCATAATCGCAAAAAAAACTCGTTATTTGGAATTTACTTCGTGAAAAGAAAACTCGTTATTTGGGATTTACTTCGTAAAAAGAGGGACGTAAATTGAATACTGCGTAAAAAAAGACTTCGTATACGGAGGTTTCAGTGTATAGCATTTCCTCCCAACTCTGTAATTGTAAACTAATCGATAATTTGATAAGTAGGCCCTTTTTTTTCCTTGTCGGGTATTTTCATCACTGCGACCATTTTTCTGATCTATTGTGATATATTCCCCATTTTTTTTCTTTAGCTATATCAAGATGCCGTATCACTATTGTTAGGAGTGATCGCCATCGTTTGACTAATAGCATTATCCCAGCCCGGCATTATACTTCGAATAAAGTGCACTGCCGTACTGGGAGTTGTTCTCCAAATGTCAAAAGGGTTCTATCAGCCTCTTGTCGAAGACCTTACGCCTTTTATTGAAAATTGCCGGACAGTGGCATAGCAAATGTTCCGAGTCTTCCTTTTCTATGCCACATAAGCGACATACATCATCTTGAAGTTTTCCAATCAGCTTCAAGTGATAACGGCTCGGACCTGTTATAAGACCTGCATATATACTAAGATCTTTCTTAGAAAGCTCCAGGATTTTGTGGGTCACAGAAATGTTTGGATTTATGAATCGCTTCGACTGCCTAGCAATAGAAGTGTTCTTCCAGTTTTCCTCCACTTTTGAAGATTCCCACGCTTTTAGCTCCATTCTAAGAGACGCAGCCGATAAGCCACAAAAGGGCTCTGGCCCGATGAACTTATGAGAAGATCCGAGTCTTGCTAGTGCATCAGCTCTTTCATTTCCCTCAATCCCGCAATGACCAGGAACCCAATATAAGTTGACTTGATTATGACAAGACAATTTTTGAAGTGATTGAACACACTCCCAGACAAGTTTTGATGTACATGTCGCCGACTTTAATGCATTTAGAGCAGCTTGACTGTCGTACATTATGCATATATTTGAACTCTTATAATTTCTTCGCAAACATATAATGGAACACTCTAAAATTGCTTGGATTTCAGCTTGGAACACAGTTGGCCATCTGCCCATAGGAACCGATATTTCTATCCCTGGGTCAGTTACTCATGTTCCCACTTCATCCCATCTGTATAAAAAACAATCGATCCTGGACGAAGAACCGGGCCACCAAATTGCCATGAATTACGCCCAGGGTCAACTACTTGAAAAAGTCGATTGAAATTGTATCTTTTCTCCAAATAGGCCCTTTAAAACGTCAAGTGTTTATTTTACTTACTATGTTCATTTAACCACACTTCCATTGAATTACTTCAATGAATCCACCAGTTTAACAGTGAAATTGGGAAAAGCAATCTATTGAGCATTCGAGTCCGGTTTTGGGCATATATTTTCTTTTCACGGATACAAAACGTTATGTGTGTGAACATTATGTATACTAAAGGCTAGTGCGTGTTTGCGGTTCTGTAATTTATTAGCCCCAACCAACCCGACTCTATATCGTCCACCAAATTGACAAACTGTGTACAAATGACTCGATCGACGCACAAACCACTTTGCGAACAAAACCGCAAAAACCTTCGTTGTCGTTTTCAGTTGTAACCGTGATATCACCACGCACCGTCGTCATATATGAACTGACTGGCATAAGATGAGCAAGAGATTTCAGAGGATGAAATGGCCACTGCCCTTAAAAGCTGCTCGGCAACGACACTTATTTGGGGTCTTCTGTTGCTTCTATCCTAGGTTACAGCAGTAGAATAAAAATGAGAGCATAGGTCGAAAATTGATGCTAAAAGGTGTTATGAAGCAATTACCTTTCCCAAAACTGCGTTTATCCAAGCTTTTCCTTGTTCTGAGCTCTTCCGCAACGTGTCATTAATTATACCCCATTCAAGTACTCGCTCAACATGACCCACTTCATCGCAGTTAGAAGCTAAATCGATTACCATTTTGCGACGCCATTATGCCTTTCAAAATTAAACCCCATAAATTGTTCTCACCCCGCCTCTCCGCCTCGCGGGAATCATTTCCCAACCCCCATCACCCGCAGATGTTCATGTCACAACACTTCCGCTCATACACCCGGGCAAGTGATCCTTCTCTAACTGCGTTTTTGTATCTTTGGTTGGCTTTTTGCAGATTTCCGCATCAGCAAGTACTGCGATGAGCACTTAATTATCGGCAACGAAGACCAATGGGAACGGCGCCGGTCCAACGAGGAACGGGACGTTTCCGGCGATGCCACAACCGAGGATAACGAGTCACCATCGCAACAGCAGCAGCAGCATCATCCTGATGACACTCCTAGCGCCGGTACGACCACCACAGCCGGTAGAAATTATTACAATGATAACACTAACGATCCGGTTGGTTTCGCCGAGGACCGACGGCAACGAAACCAGTGGAGCTACGACGGCGATGGCGATGGGGATGACGATAGCGACTACGATGGCGTCGACTACGACGATGGACCTAGGGGGGAACCGCGGGCGGAAGCATTGCAGCAGCAGCCGCTGGTTCAGCAGATGCATTCGTTTCACAATTTGAAAATACTGAAATCCTTCCCCAGCCAGGAAGCACCGATTAACGAGACGGAACACCAGAGGAAACTGGAAGCGGAAGCAGCCTACCGGAAGCGACAGAAAGTCTTCTCCCAGGTGAGTGAATTGATTGGGTTGCATAAATCTGGGCTGGATTACAGATCTAATTAGTGTACCTGGTTTGGCACACAAGCCTCAACAAGGAAATAAAAGTTGGTTGACTTAGGCCGAAGGCACGACGACTGTAGAACATCACTCAGGGTAAAAAACTGCATTTGAATATGATAATAATGACGAATCGATCTGACGTGAGCTTCCCCGATTTGCGTGGAACTTTGTTTGTTATGGTCGATCATTACCATTTTAGCGAGGATTCGGCCAGAAAAATGACATACTTTATACAAATCATAAAGGGCGAACACGAAATTATTGCGACACCGAAAATGTCATGTCAATTTCCTTATAATGTTTAGAATCAAACCAAAATTTTAGGGTAGTTTTATACATATATTTACTTCAAAAATCAAAAGAAAAGTTAATCGATGGAGCCTTGAGTGTAAAATTGAACGCATTTTCGCTTGATGCCCTCCATCAAAGTCTTTACAGTGTCATCCGGTACCAGTTTCTCAGTTTTTTTCTTCCATTTTTCTTAACATGTCCTTCTCGTCTTTGACTGTCTTCTTGCTCTTCCGAAGTTCCCGCTTCATTATTGCCCAGTACTGCTCCACCGGGCGCAGCTCCGGACAGTTTGGCGGATTCATGTCCTTTGGAACAAAATGGACAGAATTGGCCTCATACCACTCCAGGACACTTTTAGAATAGTGGCATGATGCCAAATCTGGCCAAAATAGCGGAGCTTCGTCGTGCTGCTGCAAGAACGGCAAAAGGCGCTTCTCGAGGCACTCAGATTTGTAGATCTCACCATTTACTGTGCCCTTTGTCACGAAAGGCTCACTCCTCAGTCCGCAAGAGCAGATGGCCTGCCTTATGAGATATTTAGAGGCGAACTTTGACATTTTCTTCTTCTTAAATTTGTCGTCCACATCGAACTTGCTCTTGCCGGTGAAAAACTCCAACCCCGGAATTTGCTTAAAATCGGCTTTTATATACGTTTCGTCGTCCATCACACAGCAGCCATATTTTGTCAGCATCTTCTCGTAGAGCTTCCGTGCCCGAGTTTTAGCCGTCGATTGTTGCCGCTCATCGCGGTTTGGGAAGTTCTGTACCTTGTATGTATGTAGTCCAGCTCTCTTCTTTGCATTCTGGATGTAGCTCTGCGACATGCCGATCTTTTTAGCCAAATCACGGCTTGAGACGTTGGGATTTGCTTTAATCATCCGCTTCACCTTTCCCTCCGTCTTTTTGTTCTCCGGTCCCGGTTTTCTTCCAGCTCCTTTGCCGTGGTCCAACGTCAACCGCTCCTGGAACCGCTTCAACACTCTGGAGACGGTTGAATGGTGAATGTTCAACATTTTCCCCAACTGCCGGTGCGACAGGTCAGGAAATTCCAGGTGTTTGGAAAGAATTTGTTCTCTCAACTCGCGTTGGTTCACCTCCATTTTCGTTGAATCGAAAAACACGACTTCAAGTTTGACAGCATGTACACAATACACATCAATGAAAAAGTGTGCAAAATTTGGTTGATTTTTACTCAATGGTAAAAAAGTTATGCCCTGTGGAATGTGTCGCAATAATTTCGTGTTCGCCCTTTAACTCGAAAATGTAATTTCCAATCGAATATCGAAGATCTAAGAAAAATATTCCCTTTGCAGGAAAATTTTTCACAGTAAACCAATTACTGAAATTTTAGGTAAATAAACATTTTTAATATTTATTAAATACATTTGAATGACAAGCTTATACCTAATCCTTTAAATTTGTCGAACCTCTTAACGGAATCCCTTTATGAAGGGCTTTGAGTGGGTTGATTTATTTCCTTTAAATTCCGTTATAATTGCTTATCTTTTGACAGATACGTGTATTTCGTCTACTACTTGCAGACTTCATCAGTGGCAAGTACTCAACACCACTGCTTATATCTAACAAATGCTAACTTCTGTGAAATTTTGAAGCCACAAAAAAGGTTTTTTTTTACATAGTTAAAGATGCTAATTTCAAATAACAGACTAAAGTTGTAATTTTTGTACGATAGATGAGGAGATGAAAGTATAGAGTTGATAGTTCCGTTAGAGTACTGCAGTGTGAAATTGTATATATAGAGAGTAGAAAGCGAGCAAGGACACCTTTTTACAAAGGTACAAATCGGTTTGATCATCTCTCTTTACCAAACTCCCCCGTTGGAGAGGGATGGTGAGGGGTATTCCACTGGGGATGATGAGGGGTAAAATTACCACTTTAGTCTGTTATTTGAAATAAGCATCTTTAACTATGTAAATCGTTGACTTCACGCAGAAGTAATACAAAAAACCCGAATTAATCCACCTATGGTGTGATCAGACCCTTCTTACTTATTCAAGTTTATTTATTTTATTGTCATTATCAGTGACCAAGCCCCCCACCCCCGTGTCATCCAGTGACGCTACGCCACTGCCTGGGGGTACCTGGAATATATCCGGGTGTAGTCTATTTGGTGAGGCTACCAATCACCTTATCATCGTATTTTAATGTGATTTAATGGGTTACAATTCAATTCATATTCAAGCAACTTCCCCGGGGTACCCGGAACATGTCCAAGTGTGTCCAATGTGGTCTGCAACACTTAACACGACTTGCATTGATCTTATTTTTGAATTTTGTAATAATTTGATGTGTCGCATGATGGTTTTGATACGTTTTCCGTTAAATCCAGCGTGAAGGCCCATATTCACCGGATCTTATTCCGGCCATATCTCCGGAACCGGTTCACCGATTCCAAAACCGTTCAATAGCGTTCAATGGGACCCCAAGACCTATCATTTGGCGCCGAGTTTGTCCAAATCGGTTGAGCGGTTGCTGAGAAACGTGAGCGCATTAATTTCGTTACATAAGCTTGGGATTACACATTATTATTATTTAACTTTATTAGGGAGGCTTTCAGCCTTGGGCTGGTTCGCCTCCAAGACGTTACATACACACACACATACACACATACACACGCACACACACACACAGACATGTTCCGATCTCGTCGAGCTGAGTCGAATGGTATATGACACTCGGCTCTCCGGGCCTCGGATCGATAGTCGGTTTTTCAAGTGATATCTATACCCTTCTTTGTAAGAAGGGTAAAAAACATATAGTTAAAGTTACTTCTTCTATCTTTTAATCATCTTCTTTCTTCATCTCCGTTTTCTCCGTAGCCTTGGTCCATTTCTTGCTATCCGCCATGTTTTTCGTTTTGCTCCTTCATAATGCTCTAATCGTCTTATTGATCTTGGTTTTCATAAATTGCTTCTCTCTTGTATACATCTTCTTCGTAATTTTCTTGCTTTGCCGTGAATCCGTGTCTTGTTCTTTCCTTCTTCGATACTTCTTCTGGTTTGCCTTCTTCATCTGCATCTTTGCCTTTTTCACTTTCTTCATTCATTTTCGCACATTTCCATTTTCCATTCATTTTCTTCTGCTATATCCTCTTCTATTTCCACTCCGACTTCTTCTGTTTCCTCTCCATTATCTTCTCAGTGTCTGCATTTTCTTTTGCCCCCTTATTCGTCAGCTTCCATCCCGTTATCCTCTTCACCTTCTTCCGTCTTCTTCACTAAGTTTCACCACTGTTTCCTCTTCATCATCTTCTCACTTCCTGTTTTTTCCTTTAGATTCTTCAATATACAGGGTGTTTGGTTCCGGGTTTTACATATTTTCAGGGTAGATAGGGCTCCTAAAGTTATGAAAAAATCCCCATGAAACATAGGGTCGGAAATGACTGCTAAGTGAGTTATTCAACATTTTATGTTTTTTTGTATTGCCAACTTTGGTGAGCTATATTTTTTTAATCTTAATGTGGTTTTCTGATTTCAACATTCCAAATGAAAGATTAAAGGCTTAGCTATCAATGCTCTTTGAAAAATAACTCGATTAAAGTTAATTATCATACATTAAAATTGAAAAGTATGTTGAAAGTACCAAAAAAATTGGTGAAATTTCATACATTTTAGTGTTTTTAAGTTGAAAATTTTCATTTCTGTTTATTTAGTTGTTCTACAAAACATTTTCCATGCAGTTCCCTAGATTTGTGCCTTTGGTAGTAACCTTGTAGGCTTTATGGTTTCTTCGTAATTATTGATTTAAAAACAGCCATAAAAACTTGTGACATTTACATAAAATGCGCTATAGTCACCCTATTCGTTCGTACGTTCGGCTGTTGCAGTGGACTACGCACATGAAAATTTGGTAGAATGTTATTGTAAATGTTTAGCTACATTCTTAACTTTTGATTACCGCACATCTCCTGCGCCGAAAGAAAACATAACTGCGGAGATGTTTCGCGGTATCGAATATTGCTCAGTCTCAGCAGAAAACACAACGAGAGACGAGAAGGGAGAAAAGTAGGTAGTGGTAATAAGTCGATGTCCTTTTTATTTCATAGCACTCGCAGCTCAGCTGCGGTGCTGTTTTGTTGGAGGAGTGTGGAGCTCGGCTGCTTCTGTATACACAATTAGTTTTTTGCAGGAGTCAGTATTTTTTACTGGATTTTTGGATTACTGAAAAACTCGGTTAAAATTCAAATGACTGTTATTCGTAAAGTTTGGATTAAATCGAAATTTTTTATTTTTCATCATTAAACGGGGTTAACAATAGTTAGTCTGTAAATGTTCGTAATACATTTTCACAACTTTGAATTTTTCACAGATTTTTTAAATTTTACCGAAGAGTTCCGCAATTCAAAAACTCGGTAAAAATTACTAACTCGATAAGTGTGTACTGATGTATGGTTGGTGAAGAGGCTAGCATGTGGAGGGTATTCTCGGGCTAGTGAATGCCACCCATCCCCACTTATAATTCAGTAATACACTTTTTATTCATTTATGTTTGATATGTTTACAAAGTTTACAAACAGAAATGAGCATTGCAGTGTAGTTACCAATTTTCCAAGTCTTAGACTTCAGATAACTGTTCAAAGTCCCAGATTTTTTATAACGGAATCATGAACAAAAAAGAAAGCAAAGACCACTATGACA